ACTGACCCAAATTTACCAAAGCACTACTCACAGATAATTCCCTGAGCCTAGACTAGAATTGCCATTATTTATTATAGAACACACCAGATCCAGACTTTCTAATAACAGAAACATAACAGGAAATAAAACAGGAGGGAACAATAATCAAATTATAAAGAGACTGACACAAGTAGGAGGTAAGACCAGAAAGAGAAACAATGTAACAAGCTAGATTACCTTCTAACGTTTGGGGAAAGATTGTCATTCCACCTCCATCTCTCCCCTACAGCTACTAGAACCTCCGGACAGTGTGTTTCTGTTTGGGTTTTGATAAGGGTAGAAGCAAGTATACAAATCGGAGCACAAGACTCTGAACTACCCTAATGAAATGTTAGGCTTTGATTTTTAATACTGAAACTTTAGATAATCTAATTACCAACACTGTAAACACTTCTGACAAATCGCCTGCAACTTGAACAAAGAACATTCCCATTTCCTTCCAAGTTATCTTAAAGGTCATAATAAAATTACATGCAAGATACGGTAACCCAATGAGGTTTTTTTTTTCAAGCAATTGTTTAATTTTAGGATGGTTTGGATTCTGCGGTTGTGGCTCTAAAAACAAATGTTTGGGAAATTCGAACACTGCTGTATGAGCCATACTGTACTTCTCTACCTGTTTTATATTTCATCAGGTAATATCAACTAAATTTATAGCAGGAAAGAAAAATGCCAGTGAGACCTCTTACTGCACTCACATAGTCACTGTAATCCTTCTAAATGCACGCAAGCACTAAGCATATAGAAATTTTATTGACGCTATGGTCAGATTTTACCGTTTCTATGGAGAGCTGCTAAGAACAAAACTATAAAGATACCTTATTGGCAAAGTCATTCAAAAAGCAATAGTAGACAACTTTTTTCTTCCTTTTCAGTCTTGCTCTCCTTTTTCACTATTAATATATTCCAGAAACAAGACATAGTACTCTGCATGTAATTATCTTACTAGTTGATTTCCCTAAAACAGCCATTTCTTTTATTGCATAAACCCACATATTCCCATCTTCTCCTTTAAAAATGGAGACAGTGAGCAGTTTAGGTAATTACGGCTGTCACGAGCGGTTTGACAAATAACTTTTCTGCTCTATGTATGCTTTAGGCCACTGGGAAAGCTGTCAAATAATGACATCAGAATCTACATTAACACTGGCAAAATGCAACGGTGCTTCCTTTTATATTTAACTCAGATGGTTTATGGCCCTTCCTTTTCCTATTCCCTGGTTGCAAATAAGAAAGGAATGAACAAATGGGTTGTAATTCAGCTCAGCTAAAATGGAGATAGATAACGCAGGTTCAGTGAAAGAGCATGACAGAAAAAAAGAAGCATGTCTTTGCTTTGTTAATGAAAAAGCTTGCTCATTCTTCATCATCAATGAGTTTTGTAAGCTTGAGTCACTTCCTAAAATTCCAATTAAGTTGTAGGAGATGAGCATAAAGAACAGCTGCTTTTCCCTCTTTCAGTATCTAAGTTTTTATTACACTAGATTTCTTGTATGTGAGCCATCCCACATGGACAAGAGCATTAGATGGACTACTGCATCACGCACCGTGGGGAGCTGGCTTCCTGCTAATCCATTCCAAAGCTCTCAAGCATAGACCATCCCACCTTCAATTTGATTTTATATTATACAATCTTAATTCCAGACAAAGCACAAAACAACCAGAAACTCACTATTACTTCAATGTCTACTGAAGTTACCTGCTTAGTTCTGAGAACAACCTTGAGCACTGATCTTGGTTTAAAAAGCCACCTGTGGGTCTTTGCCATCTGTGGGTCTTCACCACCTGGAAGACAGCAGTGCTCGGCAGCAGCTGAGGCTTTCACATTACTAGAGAATTCCCTTTCCAGTGAAAAGCTTAGTGACTAAGGCAAATGCTTAATGAGAAACTTCATTTTTCCACTGATGCCTGCCAGAAACATTACCTTTAACGTCCAGAATAAAAATGCAGCAAACCTGATCTGATCATACAGTTTAGTTTTATGTAGTCCTGTGAGGGGCATGGAGTTGGACTCAATGATCCTTATGGGTCCCTTCCAACCTGAGACATTCTGTGATTCTATGATCTGTTTATGAAATATTTTTCCAAAGTTAAATTACACCTGCCAAAAACTCGGCTCTGATGATTGTTTAATGAGTTGTTAAGAATGGTACCTAGAAGCTATCACAGCTTGAGCACCAGGGTTTAGTTCTGAACCCATAAAAGATCCAAAGAAATGCGACCTTGCCATCGATTTAACGTCTGAAACTGTACTTTATGGCTGACATCTACTTAAAGAGAATCTCCCCTCACCAATCACCAACCTCAAAATTTGCACAGAACACCCAACTACACTAGATGTAGCATCTAATCTCTAACGCCTTGTTCCTGCTGACCCGCTTTGCTGGTTCATCTGCATTATCAACAGCTTCCAGGCAAGGCCAGTGATTCTGTTAAGGCTTAAGGCTATGCTGGATGCTGGTTTTCCTAGCAGTGTAGTTACATTAATGAGGGATGTGATTCATTCCCACCTCTTTAGCATCGATGCAGTTACAGTGATGTGCAATTACTTCTATTAGTACAAGAACAGGAATGAGCTATACCAGTGTAACATGAATCACACCAGAGAGGTGTCTATTCTAGCACATAAAAAGGAGAAAGAGCTGCGTATATGTTGTTTTGTTGTCAGTTTTATAGTTTGGGAGTAATTCCAATTATTTTTATTTTAACTCCACATACACATACCCCACCTGATGCGCTTTGAGTCTTTGCAGCATCGCATGCAGGAAGGCACTCAGAGCCTACAGTCCAGGGGGTTATTTAAAGTGTCTATTTTAAGTGTTTATAACACCTAACACACAATATACATAACACCATATTATTTGTGGCCACTGCCGTACAAAAGAATTAGAAGTTACACAAGAAAGAAATTGACATGGGGAAAGAAGTGGATTAAATGCGTAGCTGAGCACTCAACTGAAAACTGGGGGTCAGGAATGCTTGCGTGGATTTTTCTCCACTGCCCAGCCTTAGTCAAAACAAAAGAGTCATAGAACAGACCACACTAAATAAGGCTCAAGATGAAGTTATTCACAGCAGCCTTCAAAACAGAGAAGTTAAACAGAGAGTGTCCTCCCAATAAGCTTTGCTACTTACAACTTAAGAACAGTTCTAGCTGTTTTCTAAGGTTCATTGTGATGATAAATGCACAAAAGTGTATGGTATGCACGGCCGCTTATTAGCATTTAATGCTTCTTGAACAACTACAATGCAAATATTCATCACAATAGATGGGAACCTTGGTGGAAACAAGAATTCCCACAAATTGTTTAAGAGTACAGTAAATGAATAGTATTATAAACAAAAAGCCTAAATCCCTCACAAATGCGTATGTTGCATTTGCCTACAGATTAACCCACTACACATTCATTGTGCGACTGCATTTGTAGAAAACCCTTTGAACAACAAAAAAAATTTATACCCTAACAAGAAGCATTTTCTATTTATAGATGCGTTCCAGTCAGACCACATTTGTCTCAAGGTTTGGTTGGGTGTTGTGTTTTGGTTTGTTCGTACTAGTGACAGATTTTTGCATAAATGGGATGTTACAGGACAGAGTATGAAGTCATACAATTTTAAAGGCAGCTCCATTTTGAATTGCTTAACTGACGGTGCATCAACACACTAACAAACATGTCTCAAAAAGTAATCTTTGGAGTTTATTTCTAAGCAACAACCCAACGCAAAACACTAGAAAATCTAAATGACTACATAGGAAGTAATCAAAGCTACAAACAAATGGCAGGCTGACAACTTTTAAAACTACTTTTACTTCACTTATACAACTAGACATTCTAAATAAATATAAACCACATTTGCTCTATATAATGCATTAAGAAAACTTCTACATCCCACACGAACTCTCATAATTTCCCAAGTCTCTGTTCAATACCATAATATGTAAACATACTCCACAAATGTGGTTTTGCTTATGATCAAGGCACTTACAGGGAAAGTATACATTTTTAATCTACTCCAATGTATATATTTGAGGGACAAAGGGAAAAAACAGCCCTAGTGCTTACTGTACCTTGTAAAGTATTTCCCAAAAATCCTCAATATTTGATATACAGGAGAAAAAAAGAAAAGGGACGTGATTCTGTTTGCCGTACCTTTCGTATCTCACTTATGGCTGTCAGAGATGACTGTAACAGAAGCATAAGAGCACAAGAAACAGTTGTCTTTAGCGTACGCACACCTGACAGCCCTTCTTGGAAAGTTGTCACCAGCACAAGATGAGAGATGGCGAGGGGGTGTATATATGTGTACACACACACACACTCTCACATACACATACATCAGAACAAGAACATGCCTGGCTAAAACCACATCAGTGAGCAGCAGTACTGAGAAAAGCCTCATGGCTCTCTTTAGAACAGTCCCCCAAGGGAGATGCCTCTAAAACCCCAATAAATCGAGAGATCTCATCGGCGGGCAGAGGAAGGAGAAGAACCCTGCCAGGGCTCTCCTCCATCCTGCCTCTCAAGCCTTCCTCTCTCAGAGGAGAGGAAGGGCGGAGAGCGAAAGGGAGGAGGCGAAAAGCACGAAGGAGAGAAACGGCTCAAGGGGAGAGATTCTGCCAAAGCATCAACTCCTCCAGCGAGGAGAAATCCCCCCTTCTACGCCCACCCAACACGCTCTTCAAGAGTAATGGGGGGGGAATCCCCCACCCTCCCTTCAAACACCCACTGGGGCAATTTCTCCTCGTGCATCCAGCTTCAATTTACTGAAGAGACAGCAAATTGATCACCTCAGCCTCACTCTTAGGGGGGGGCTGGTTGTCCTCCCCCCCCCCCCCCAAGAGGCGGTGGCTCTTCTGGAACGCTTCCTCCTCTCCTTCCTCCTCTCCTTCATCGTCGGCAGCCACCCCGCTGTCTGCCTCCCCCTCCTCCTCCTCCTCCCCTCAAAGCTCCATCCCTCACCGGCTTGGGTGGTGTCGCTGAGGTCGTGGTTGGCGGCGCTCGCCCGCGGGTAGTCCCGGAGCTTCCTGCCGCTCAAACTGAGGGTACCGCTGGCCGCCGCTTCTTCTAAAGCTCGGTCTAAAGAACGGCTCCACGAACCGGGACCGGTAGAACCTCCGGGTGGTGGAGGACAAGCCGACACGTTGCCCGACGGCATCACGGTGGAGCCGCCCTCCGGCGCCGACAGCACCGCTGCCGCCATTTCCCCCCCGCCCTCAGCCCTCAACCCGCCGCCGCCGCTCAGGCTCCGCGCGCCACTGCGCAGGCGCGAGGAAGCCCAGGGAGCGGCGGGCAGCGCGCGTGCGCCAGCCCTGACAGGGACGCGCAGTGCGCATGCGCGGGTCCGGGGAGGGAAAGAGGGAGAATTTCACTGAATTTTTAGAGTTTTAGAGTCGGAAGGGACCATAGAGATCATCTAGTCCAACTCCCCTGCAAAGCAGGATTGCCTAGAGCACATTACTCAGGACTGCATCCAGGCGGGTCTTGAAAATCTCCAGAGAAGGGGACTCCACACCCTCCCTGGGCAGCCTGTTCCAGGGCTCTGTCACCCTCACCATGAAGTTTTTTCTCGTATTTGAGTGGAACCTCTTACATTCCAACTTGTGCCCGTTGCCCCTCGTCCTCTCACTGGCAACCACTGAAAAGAGTCCGGCTCCCTCCTCCTTCAACCCACCCCTTGGATAAGTACATTGATACAGTCTCCCCTCAGCCTTGTCTTCTCCAGACCAAAGAATCCCAGCTCTCTCAGCCTTTCTTCATAAGGGAGATGCTCCAATCCTTGAATCATCTTCATTGCCCTTCGTTGGACTCTTTCCAGTAGTTCCCTGTCCCTCTTGAATTGGGGAGCCCAGAACTGGATGCAGTATTCCAGTTGTGGCCTCACCAGTGCAGAGTAGAGGGGGAGAATGACCTCCCTCATTCATTAAACCTAAGGAGGTTTAAGGGGAACCTCCTTAAAATAACCCAAAACATCCTCTTTTCGAGGCCCGTGTTTCCGCTTGCCTGGGGTAATCCAGCGTGCGAGGGTGCTGGCCTCCCCTTGGCAACGGGATGCATCATGTTTTTTGTTTTGATGTCATCAATCCTTAATCCTTGCAACGAATGAATGCCAGTCTTGCTCTGGGACAGCTGAGACAGACTGCAGCTGGCCTGGTACTCTGGTACTATACCAGTATTCCCACCATACTCCACACAGAATCCCACGGGGTTGGAAGGGACCTCTGGAGATCATCTAGTCCAACCCCCCTGCCAGAGCAGGTCCACCTGGAGCAGGTTGCACAGGAACTTGTCCAGGCAGTACCATCACACCCAGACACTCCATTACAGCCTGCTACTGAAAAATACATTAAAAGCCAACACATTTAAATGCAAGTGAGCTTCTTGCAGTGCTGCTCCAAGGAGTGCTTAATTTTCAGGATTTTAAGCTAGGCAATGAATGCAACCCCTCTTTAAATTAGGTGACTTTTCATCATATTCTCCAGAACGTTTAATAAGAATTTAATCATTAAAGTACCCCTTGAAGGATATCACAAAATTCACATAACCATCATATTGCCAGGGTGGTTATAATAGGAACAAGACAGTATGAAACCTGTAACTTTTTATTTTAAAAAAAATTAACAGCTTCAGAATAGATCAAATGTAATAACTTCTCCAAAAAATACCAAAAGGTACAGTGTAAAGCATCTTCTCATTAAATACAAACTAGCATTTTTTGATGCATTGCATCAATGTTTTGCATCTATGTTGATGCAAAAGAATTTTTTTGTTGCATCCTGGCACATGGAAAATGTATACACTGAAACAGGATGGCTGACAACACTTTATCTACTCAAATTCTAACAGTGGGACCCTTTTTAAAAAAAAATAATATTCCTACTAGTAATTAAGAAAAAAAACCTTAACACCATTACATTTAGTTTGCTTCTGCTAAGGTATATTTGTCAACATTAAAAATAAGGGTTTAAGTACTATATAGCATCAGGATGCACTCTGACTTTAAAACTGCTATACAAACAAAAGCCCTACTACTGTCAAATGCTCTTCAGCGTTGAAGTTCCCAGTAAATGCTAGTTAACTTGGAATTCGAGATAAAAATGCAAGGAAACCAACTCTGGAAGAAGTCAAATGTAAATTCTCCCGAGAACAGTAAAAGGAATTAAACCCACTTCAAACACCATAAACATTTCTGGATGCAGCAAGCCAATCGCTCTTTTACCTGACTGTACCTAAATCTCATTGCTATAGAACAGCATCAAGTTCATCAGTTCCTGGTCTGGAAGCAATTCTGAAGGGATGCCTCAGTTTTAGGGATCGTATAAATTCAGACTGGGGATGCTCTGGTTGTCACCATCCTGCAGATTCTGATGCACAAAGCTAAGCTTAAAGCAAGCTGACCGCACGCACCTGCTTAATGCCTTGCACGTGCTGGAAAACTGAAGGCTTTCCTCCAGCCACGTTCCCCAGTTTCAGCCAATTTGAAGATATCTGACCATTTCTGATCAGCTTCACATCTCACCTCTCTTTGGTATGCACAAACAAGTGTCATTAGATCACTTGCCTCTGGCTATCTCTAAGATCCAGAGAAAACCCTCTGGGGCAAGGCATGCAGGATGCAAATCCTGTGTCTGTGAGGGTAAGGAACTCTACCGTACCACTGACTTCCTTGTGAACTGTTGTATTTATTCTTACAAATTATTCAAAAATGTGAAGTTATTGCATTAAGTTTCTGAAAAAGAAACAGAAAGTAGAAGTTTAAGAAAAAAAAAGGGAGACAAATGTACTCCATTTACAGAAGAGGATGATGAACTTGAGCTATTTGCAATATAAATTACTCTCATACTGCCTAGGCAGTATTCCTCCAATATGATTTGGACCATTTTTAAGGATAAGAGTAGAATAGTCTCCATCCAAATTACATATTTTGGGTCTCAGCTAACAGCTTTATTTATGAAAGTGAAGATGCAAAACATTAAGTTTTCATGAAAGGAAAAAAACTGAACTTCAAAAGCACAAAGAAGTACAACCAATGCTCCCATGAAAAATGCCGCTACATCACTACCAAAGTATTCCTGGACTGAGGCTCTCTGCCAAACTGCAGTCCAACAGAAAGTTCATTGGCAGTCCCTAAAAAACCCTAAAATGGGGTTCGTAATTAAACTCGTAATCTTTACCAGAACAGAGGGGTCAGAGAACAGATACTGAGCACTCCTAAACAGACAAACAAAAAACACAACAGAAAAAACAAAACTCTTTTAAAATTAACGTTTGTGTTTTGGTTGCAAGATGAACCAAAATCAGGGTTTTTCATCATCCGGGCAACAGAATCTTTTCCAACCAGGTGACGGTGCCACTTGAGCGGATCAGTTTCCCCACTTCCCCCCCCTCAGGGCACTGCATCTTTTACCACTCAAAGTAATAAAGATCGATGGCTCTGCCACCATCTTAGCAAGAAGTCTGGAAAATTTCAGTGTCATATGCTGTCTTCTTCTGCCCACTTTTATCTCAGCTTCTTAGGTAGGTGGGATCAGTGCCCAAGTCCGCCGGCCGGGTTAGCCCACCGTTACAAAACGGCTTCCTTTGTTCTGAGACAGCGCTGTTCTTTGTTCCTTCAGGATCCCAAAACGTTCGTTCAGAGTCATCCCTGTCTGGAAAATAAAGTCATTTAACCACAAGCTTAAAAGATGCTTAGGTTAATTTAATCAAAGTAATGGAGACAAGAATAATTTCCTCCTCATTCTGTATCATCACTTGACTTCTTAATTGCCTCATTTAGATTAAAAAAAAAAAAAGGAGGTTTAATTTGATATCATCATTTCCCAATTTCCCACACCATTTAAAAATCAGATTGGACTATATATATCAAGAGCTAGCATTTCTCGGAAATCATCAAGAACACATGGTACAGTGTCAAGACTGAAAGTCAACTCTAAATATCCTAAGTTAAACTGAGGACAGACAGACAGATAATGGGAACTCGCTACACTCATTTCCCCACACAGATTCTATGCAACTCCAACAAATGCAGCATTTTAACTGTGCTAATGTAGGTTGCTTTCCAGTCCATCCAGTTGAGGCAGTCGACTGGAGTCTAGTTTAAAAGTTCCAATTAATTTGACAGTATAGTCGTAGACTACTTTTGACATACTACTTATTCATGGAAGGAACAAATCCAGACTGATGCCCTGTCCCCATGGAGTTCTCTACGGCTGGCAGTAAGGAGCTGATGACAAGAACAGCATCTAACTGTCACTCTGTAAGAATTCCTTCAATACCAGCACTAAGACTCCTGCACCAAATCACGTGTCTTTATTAAACTTTTGAAACACTGCTCATTTTCAAGCCTTTACATCATCACATTTAATGTTTTTTTTTCCCTAGATGCATAGTACAAGTTGCCTTATAAATTCAGCTGCCAGGGTTCCACACAGGTTACACAACTGAAACTCATCCCTGAATTACGCACACTTGTCCCTAGCTGCATAATACAAGTTGTCTTATAAATTCAGCTGCCAGGGTTCCACACAGGTTACACAACTGAAACTCATCCCTGAATTACGCACACTTGCTGATTCAAGTACAGCAGGAACACCAAAAGGCTTTTAGAAATATTAAACAATTTAAATCCCATTTAAAGCATGTGGGCATGCAACACGTGAACTAGAGGAACAGGAACAGTGAGTTTAGTTACTTGCTTGAAGTTACACAGCAAGTTAGTGGAAGAACTGGAAGTGGAAAAAAGAAGTAGTCACTAGTTCCCTCTTTCTGTCACTAGTGAGTCTAGAAGCAAAGTGCCGGGCTCACAGTTTTTATCTGACTTGAAACTACTTCCACAGTTGAGGAAAGAAATGGCATTTACCTGTTTTCCAACACTATTAATATCAAACTGCAATGGAACCCCTTTGGGCACCTTCTTCTCTTCAGATTGGTCCCTCTTCATTAGAAATGGCGGCACAGGAGTACGAGTTAATCGCAATTTCTGGGAACTGTGAAAGAACGTTACAAAGGACACAGTGAATATGTATTTTATGCAATAAAGTCTTAATGCTGATAGAGGTATGAATTTTTCATCAAGTCATTTGATCAGGCTGGCTAAGTAGCTGGAGGGCCCAAATTCAAGAAGGTAAAAGTCAGGCAGCACTATAAAAGGGCAGCAGTCGCTATTGTTATCAGACAGCAAGTGTCCCAGAAGGAAGCAATCTTATCTTTTCTTTCT